GTTCGAATGGAATATACGTCATTTTACATATTCAAAATTATTGGTAAAATAAAAATTGATCGGTAATCGTTTAATTACTATAAGTCATTCTTTTTTTCTATTCAATTAAAACGACTATAAAAATTGATAATATCGTCACAGTGTTACCAGAAGTAGAATTTCAAACAAATTTTCTTCAATGAGATTTTTCGAAAGATTTATATAAATTGGGTCAACGTGTTTTGCCACGTATTACGCATCTATGAAATTAACGAATAGATATAGTGCTATTTAAAATTTCCAAAAGCGCTTCTAATAAAATGTGTGCTTATTAAAATAGCAGCATAATTAAGAATCGTAAGCGATAATTTAAAGCGACGATACGTAAAAAAGGAGGGAAAACAAAAAAAAATATTTCATTTAATATCGTAACCCTTCGCAGCTTTAACAGTCCATGCATCTTTGAAATCGTCTGGGAAATTAGTATTCCGTTCGGTATCCCTGATTGATGACATTGCGTTTATCGAGCGGCGTGCAGCAATGCACACAGATTATTCATCATATTAAAAAGCGTTTTCACAGGTCGCGCATTCATTCGAGTGTTACATTCCAATAAATGGAACTTAACAATCAGCCGTAGAAATTGGTACGCGCATGCTGCATGACGTATGCAGACGAGGCCAGCAACCACCGTAAACAGAATTATACAATACCGAACGTGCTACCATTAATTAGAGTAACTTTGTTGGCACGTGAGCGTGTGCGAGCGTGTTACGCGGCCGCGCTTTTATATTAATAGCGTGCGAAATGTTTTGACACCTCGACGCCGACTGCGGATTTTTAATTGAGACGTATCGCGGATCGCGTTTGTCGCCAGACGATTATAAACAATTTGGTCAACGATATAGTTCAATAAACGAGCATATCACATTCTTCGAACGAAAATTTAACTTGTCGATATATCTCGTTTTAAGCAAATTTTTCATGAATTACAATCGATAACGTTAAAATAGGAATTATAATTAATATTATTAAAAGTTGGCGTGATAAATGGTCGAGAGAATAACCAGAACAATATCGTATTTAATTTTTAGTCGTTCGAGAAGACGGAAGATCAGATTTCAATTTTTCACAGGTTCTCGGAGAATTCATGATAATAAGTGGTGAGACACCATCGATATCAGACATAGATCACGCGATACAGGCTGGCCTGGTTCTTGCGATAGAATATTAATTGAATGGACCAATAAACGGGTCTAGCATAAAAATGAGTTATCGATTTAGAGGATAGCAGGGAAAACACGCCGACATTTCTTACGTTGTTTCAAAGCGAGCAATCAGATGATTAAACGGTTACTCTAGTAAGTGTGTTTTATACGTTAAAAATTAGTCGAATAATATAGAAACGTTCGAACTCGCTAACATTTCAACGTTTGACATTTTAAAATACCATCCACATTGTTTACTCGAGACTAGACCGTAAGATTGGATTTATGAAAAAAAAAAAAGAAATCGTCCGTCATGTGTTATCGCTAGATGAAAAATTTCCCAGTACAATGACAACCGACTGACCGATGCAAATGTCACGAGGTGCTTATTACACAATCTCAAAATGAGCATTTTTAATAGGTCATCTAAGGTCTCAGATTAATCGCCTTTTCTTTCTTTTTATCCACGTAGTAATAAAGTGATTGTGTTCGCTGTATTTGAAAGTTGTTTATTTGATTCCCCAAGAAAAAGAAACGAACACGTGCGGGTAGATACGTGAACAGATACCTGCTTAATGAGTATGTAACAGGAATAGGCGTGCACATTTTGACCCAAGGATGCTTTCATGAGATTACAGTTAACGCTTGTTTCTGCACTATTTCACGACGCCAAGCTCTAACGATCACAGTCACCACACAGTGTTGCAATTTCATTAATCAACGTTTCACAGATTTCATCGAATCACGGTATAACATAGAACTCTTTAGATCTTTCAAATATTATCAGCAATGATGCTGGAAAAATACGCCGTTGCGGTATCAATACACACGTGCAGAGAATTGTACTTTATCGGCATGATACGAGCAAAACGTTCATTAAAAACATTGCAAATAGGTTATCGATGTGCATCCTTACGATCGTTCTAGTAACCATTGTTTTTTCACAATAGCAATTTACAAGATCTAGCTAGCGAATAGCTGACCTATTGAACGAATTACAGAAATAAATTTCCATATACGCAATTTAGTGTCTTATAAACGCTTTAATACAGCAGACGTAAACGAAACTCTAAAGAAAACTAGCATTTATAATACAATACATCTTTTACTATAATATATATACACTACTGTCGATAAATATTTGGACATCTGGCGTAATTCGATGATTATGATTAATTCTTTGCCTTTGACTGTAATCGAGGTACAAAAAATGTAATATAGTGTAAATCCAGAAGTCCGTCCAAGTGCGAGAGAAGAGGACAAAGGACAACGAATAAAAATTGCATCACTCGATCTCTGTATTTGTATGTAATGAACAGCTGACACTTCACAAAGCCAATATAAACTTTTAGATTATGACGAAACGCAATCTTCTATTATTTTCAGATTCTTCTTTTATTTATATATTAATTCGTATATTAACTATTGTTTTCATCGATGTACTAATTATATATGGTCGCCTGACACGAGATCCGAGACCGATAGTTATGTACAGTTTATATATTTGCAATAATTTGCAAATATAGAAGTATAGAACTTATGGACGTTAGTGTACGAAAGAATTTCAAGCTTGACAAAAGGATCAAACGATAAATATCGATGCACAGAGCGAATTAAAAGCAACGAAATCCGCGCAGCGGTGTCGCGTTATTGACAGAATTTCGCGAGAGAGAACTCGACAATATCCGGAGACGTGGAAAGCGCGCGAACACCATGACGCACCGTGAAAATTCAAACGACGAAACGTCCTTCCGGACGAGCGAAACGTTTTTCTATCGTTGGTACACGGGCGGCTGGTGTGTTGTGTTCGAGGCCCGTGTGAAAACCGACTTTTGTGCAGGTTCGCTGGTATCCGCGGACAATGAAACGTACTGTAGGCGGCAGGCAGGCGTTACGACGGCAAATCCGATTCACGCACTATCGACGCGTTACCTAATAGCGTATTACGTGGATGCAGATACACAAGCGACGTCACGTGCTCGACGAGGCACCTGCGCTCACGCAAAGCAAAAATAAAGGTGCGCGAGACGAAGTGTAGCAATTGCCACGGGCTGGCACACCAGCCGTCTCTCTCTCTCTCTCTCTCTCTCTCCCTCCCTCTCCCTCCCTCCCTCTCTCTCTCTTTCTCTTTCTATCTATCTACCTATCTATCTATCTATCTATCTATCTATCCATCTATCTATCTTTCTCTCTATCGCTCTCTTTCTGTGTTGAGTTCCGTTCACGCAACGCGCAATGCGTTACCTAAGAAAGCGTAGACGCGCAATTTCAACCGATCATCCCGTCAGCTCTACCTTCGCCGCCCTCTGATGCGGTCGATCTATGAAAAACAACGTGCACGTGGACGCGCATGCAACACCGGATCGATCTGCAAACAACGCCAGACAATAATCGCGTTTATCACGCGGGAAAATACCCGGTGAGTACCGCGCGACGAGGGTCACCGTAAAAACCAACAGCCATAATGAAGTATCAAGCCAGCTGGTTAGATGTTCTCTCTCTTCCTCCCCCTTTTTCTACCTTTTTCGGTGCAATTTCTCCGAGTGCACCGCCACCGCGTCGTTTCATCCTGTTACAGCGATACTAGACGCGCGTCGCTTTCCTGGACTAACGTCGTCGACGTGGCACGATTGTGTTTCCTCGCGACCAGGAAAAACCGCGGATAATGGAAACTATAGGAGTGCGGATGTTTAACGCGCGATTTAATTGTTGTTTGCGAAGGTTTTATAACGAAAGAAATTTTGATTGACAACTTTTGGAATTAACAAATGATATCTATTCGATTACCATTAATTTTTAGAAATATTTAATACTTAATCGAAATTGTTAGCACTTTTATCTGTAATATGCAATATCTTTATTTCCATACTTTATTATTTGTTTCATTTGTAGAGTAAAGATTTCTGAATTATATTTCGAATGTCGGTATCGGACATTTTTTACATTCTACAGAACACCTACGTAACGCGCGATTCTACGTCCCAGCGTGTAACGATGAAGATCGATAAAGGAAAAACTCGGGTGATTTGACGGAAATCGCAACAAAGTAATTTCATTCACACAGAGTTCTTCGCGTTGGCGTATCAAATGTGCTTCGCTATAGCATGCTCATAACTCATGTTCGTGCAACGTGTACACAAGAAGAAAGATTTGAAAAAGCCAAAGTATGCATAACTAGTTCCGAGTCTACACAATGCATAATTTATTAATCGTTGCGAGGATGCTACACAAACTTAAAAAGTGTCGCGACTACAGTTATCTCGAGCATTCCTTCCTATGTTTAACGCTATGCAAAGAAGCGTCGAAAATAAAAGAATTGCATCGTGATCGATCGAGAAACACCATTAAAAGAATGGCTGGGGGGGATTACGTGCGTTAACGTGCCACCGCATGGCCTTCTTTCATCGGATGAAGAAACTATTGACATTGAGGCAATTCAATTTGCACGATGGATTTGCGTTTAAACCGAGACGGCACGACTCGCCGTAAATTCCGGTTCTTACGGCGGCGATCACGAGCTATCAGCCTAGGAATAATTTATCGGCGACGATCGCATTAAAGTAGCTACAATGAAATTATTCCCCGCGGCGGTGTGCTTGTGTGCAGGTCCACGTGTGCGTATATAGACGCGTGATCTCGCGAGCTGGCTCGCTAGCAAACACGCGCGCGCGCGCGCCCTCTCGAGCACGCACGCGGCTGCCGCGAGCTTTACGGATGTAGTCGACAGTCGGACGCAATTAGTATTACCTAAGAATCTATATAGCCAGACGTATCGTAACAACTATATATTGCACGAAAAGTATACGTACTTACCTGCGCGCGGGAGTCCGCACATCGATATAGCAACGACATTCCGCGCCACCTGGCCGAACGCGTGTTTACTTTTTCTAATTCGAAGTCGCACGTGTCGCGCGTTCGAGGTCCCCTTCGTATTCCGATATGATTCTCTTGGTATTGAGCTCCTTCCGATCCTTTCTCCGATACCTGTACAAAAGATTGTTTCTTTTTCTCACTTTCTTTCTCTCTCCCACTCTCTCTCTCTCTCTTTCTCCCTCTTTCTCTCCCTTTCTTAAGAAGAAGGGTTTAAGAAAGGTTAGGAAAAATACGTGGACTTTTATTCGATACGAATATGGAAAAATGAGAATCGATTTTAGAGAGGGAGACAACGTTTCTCGATAGCCTTTGAAAGCCCGCGAAACTATCGAGCTTAACGCGAAAAGAAAAATCTGCATATAAATTTTAAGAAAGCATCTTCGTCTCGATGTTGCGTAGGCGATGTAACAAAAGGAAGAGGAAGGGGAAAATACCTGTGACAAATCGGGGCAGAATTGCACGCGAATATCTGTTCCGTCTGTGCATCTCTTTATCTTTCTCTTTCTATCTTCCTCTCTCTTGTATGCACGCACACGCGCTGTCTCGCGCTATCTTACTCCTATACTGTCTCTGTCGCGCACGTAAATTCGAGCTACGCCAGTCCAAACCGTGCGAAATTTCTAATTTCGAGGTCAGACGTGCGGCAAAGTACGTCCGAAATAATTACCTTCCGTGCTGCGTAAGACGTCAATGCGTTTGATATTCTTACACGATCTCCCCTCCCACCCTTAACACGACGAACAAGAGTTTTTTTGGTCCAACGACGCCTATGGCTCTACGAATCGCGAGATCTGCGAGGGAAACGTGCGCCGTCTCTGTATGTGTGGCTGTGCGCGTGAGCGTTTCACACCTGACTACTACGCTAGTCAAGCGAGCGACCGAAACAACATTAGATATTTATTAAATAATGATATCGACGTGAAACTTTTGCGTAAATTAGTTATATAACCGAATAGGATTTATCGTGGGCGAATTATGCTCGTGGGCGGTGCCGAATCGATTTATTTTGTCGGTAAAGTCTGCGCGGCGAACACGGTAGGTTAGTTGACCGCGGGGCCGAGCGAGCGCTGAGCTGACAGTAGGCCGGCGACGTCACAGTGGGCCGGTTGAGCCTTCCTTCGTTCGATTCAGGCAGGCTCTCTATTCATTTTACATGTAGCAAGGTAAATATTTCTATGCGAGTGTCCATTCGAATTCGTGGCTCCAAGTGCGTGCAATTGTCGGCAGCGATCTGTGATTACACGTTTCTCGTTATTTATTTCCTTTTTTTCAATTTTTTTTTTACGACGAAACACTTTTGCCGGGGTGTGAAAAAGAAGTTTTTTTTCCTCGTACGTGCCCGTTCCTGTTACATTTCACGACATTGACTGCTACTGCTACTGTTGTTGTTGTTGTCGCCGCTGCTGTTTGCTGTCACGAGCGATACCCGTGGAAAAAGCAGATAGATAGATAGAGAGGGAGAGAGAGAGAGAGAGAGAGAGAAAGAAAAAGAGCACCGTATCAGCTACGATTTTCTTCGATTCCATCGTCCGATACGCGAAAAAGAAAAAGAATACAAACACACGGCAGGACACGGAACACGCACTTTGCACCCGTTCATAGATCTCTCGTGCACGATCATTGGATTTCCCATCGAGAGAACGTCTCTGTCGCCCGAACAGCGCGCCCGAGACACGTGAAATCCCACGGTTGACAGTTACCCGTGGCGCGGACGCCAGTGGATCGTGAATCGTTTCTCGCAACGCATCGTAACCACGTTCGACGTTGATCGACCTTGTGCTGTTTAACTTTTGCCAAACAAATTTTTCAAAGCACTCGCGAACCGTCTATGATTCGCCAATTTCTTCGATTACTTCGACACAATCGTTGTTTGTCACTGTCATGCTACGAATCAAAGTGTTCACCACGTACGAGATCGCGAACGCATCGTACACGTTGATTAACACTCGTGAATCATTTCGAACGATCCGGAAACCGACTCCAAAAACGTTTTTGGCACGAGCGATAGGCTGGCCAGGAAAAATTCGTTACGCCGCGCATCGATACACGAAGACACGTGACAAGTGAATAGTGAAGTACGATAATCGATTACAGCGACAGTGTGCGATTCTAGCGATATCTCGACGATCTGTCGCAGATCTGAAAAAGTAACGCGTATCCGCGATCGCGTAACGCGCCGCGAATCAATCGGAAAAGCATATCGGCGCGGTAACGGCGCGCTCAAACGCGGAGAAAAGTAAACAAAAGTTAAACGCACTCGTGAAAGCAACGTCGGTCGATCGTGTCACCGATTAAAAGCAGCATTGACGTAGAGGAAGATTCCCGTGGAATTTCGTGGCCGGGACGCGGTTCGATGCAAAGTGTCGAAGATCGTCAAGTGACGGATCGAGAGGAGTGCGTCGGCAACACACATTATGAGACAGCGTACATGAGTAACTTGGTGAAAAACGCATCGACGACGCATCTCTTGAAATGACAACCGGAGAGACGTCAAAAGTGATAGCTTTCGAAAAGTTGGCTGGAACAGTACGTAATAAGCTCCCTAACCTAGCAAGCTTTCTTACCTAACCTATACTCGACGGTGCGGCTTGGCCGCTGACAAGCGTGCGACAAGTGAGTTTTGCGTTCGATTGCGAACGAAATGTCGTGTATAAAAACCAGTCACGAACGACATGCTGGATCGGATCGAATCGAACGAGGAAAAGAACGCGAGGCAGTCCGTGGTTCGTTCGAAACGCGTCTCGATTGGTGTTGAAGCGAAAACGTGAGGCAAAGAGTGCGTGTTCCGTGAGCCGCCAACGGCGGGACGAAAATATCACACGTGCGTCGGGAGAGTAAGCCGAGATTTTTGGAAGACGACGCCAGTCAAGTGGGCGATCGGTGAGCACTGCTTCTCGGGTGAGCGACCAAATAACAAATTAAAAAAATCTCTCTGAATACCAGAGAAGGAGAAGAATCTTCGTGGGGTATCAGGTAGATGATTCTCCTCCAAACCGCGAGAATCGGACGGTTAGTCTCGCGTGTCACGCTGTCACACAAGTTTCTCCGCATCCTCGAGTCGCTTCTCTCGGACACGTCTGTTTATTGACAGCTCGAAATTCCTGTGACTCGTGCTCGCCCACGATCGGTTCAATTTTAACCGACACGCGAGACCAGTCGTCCGCTAATGATAAAGTCGATCAACATCTACTGTTAGGTTCGAAAGCTCATACGTATACATATACACCTACGATGTCTCGTTCGTCGGGAGATCACGTTCTGTCGTTCCGTTTCTACAAGATTATGGTAACAGTGACGAAATGCGACTTCCTCGACGTTGCGGAAAGCACCGCGAATCCTGAATCGGTAAATGATAGTCTAGTTTCTGTGAGAGAAAGAGAGAAAAGGTATTTGAGGGCGAGAGCGTGGGTGAACCTCTTTCAGTCGTACGGCCCTGCATGCTAAACAGCATAGACGTTTGACGTTTCGTGAAGGTCGCGTGCTGTAGCACTTTCCTTCTCGCACCGTCGACCGTGTCTGTGTCTATCTCTCTCGCATGCACACCGTCTCTATCGCGTACTCTTTCTCTCTCCCTCTATCTGTCTCGCTGCAACCTTAACCGTCTCTGTTCTACCACGTCTTTTCCGTCGTCGTTTCTCCGTTGCCCGCGTCTATTGCGTCCATCCGTCTCGTTCTACGCACATACACGCACACGTTATATACCTACCGTTGGACGTTTAACGATCGTTACGCGTTGAAATTGTCGCGGCTCATTGCTTTCCGGGAAGTTCCGCGAATTTTCCACGAAGTTGCCGCGTCCCGTGGCTGCCGCACGCGCGTTCCGCGTCCCCACGCGGATTTTCACGTTATCGACGCGTACGTGACATTGAAGATCTTCAGAGGAAATCGTTGGCAGCGCGGTTTATACAGGGTGACGCCAATAAAAATATCGTTTCTTAACAAAATCCGGACGGTTTAGATTTCTTCAACGTTGCGAAAAGTTTTCTGTTTTGTTTTCCTTCCTTTCTTTTCTTTTTTATCTTTTTTAATATTGATTGCTAGCATCAGATTGCTTGGGAAAGTTGTAGGTAATTCGATAGTTAAGAAAAATTTAGGTAGAATCAGACATTTTATTATCTGCAACCTTACGAGTATCTTGTTGAAGAATATTTCATCCTTCTTGGTAATAAATTATTTAACATAGTTTTTCTAGGCCTCTAGATATACATAAGTCCTGCTTAGAGTATTTACAGTTCTTTTCGAACGTCCAATTGTTATGACCAATTTGTTACGAGCCCCTCATTTCTGTTTTATGTAGATATTTAATGTTTATTACATTTTAAGTAGCATTTAACACGCTCCTATTGTATCTAACTTCATGAAGAATTTTTTTATTACGTAAATCTAATTATCATGTAGAATTAAACAACATTCGGTACTCCTTTTATCGTGTTAAATGAAGAAAATATGACAAGTTCATTTTCTAATATTTATCACTCTGTGACCGCAAAAAAATTATTTCAACATGAAGTTTTTGGAAAAAAATGGTCTGATAGATTCAAAGATATGCCATTTATAAACGATGGTAGTTTACATATCGTATTAGTAATATTAGATCACATTAACATTCTTAACATTTAAAAAATGTTCAGGACGACGAATGACAAAAACACGTATTTCATTCTAAAGTCAAATGAGAAGATTATTCTAACGTGGAATTAGTTGACAAAATATTGAATATAAACATTATTGTTTTATAGAAGGTTTATCATTTTCTTCGCTCGAGATTTCCAAATGAAATATTCTACATTTATGACAAAAATAACTCAGTTTACGGGCTAGAATTAGCTTTTCATTGATTACACGTTTCAACAAAAGAAATCGATGGTAACGTTCGATCGATGTTAATGTTCGATTATGACGATACGTTTAGAAAGCACTTTCGTTCGTTTCGAAAACCGCGTTCGCGATTGTTGCAGCGGCTTGGGAAACGCGTGCGAAGTTACAGCCCACACTCTCCGTGAATTCACTTTCTACGCGGCCGAATAAATCAGGAAAATCTGTTACGATATACGAGGCGTTGCTACGGATGTAGTATCACATATTGCCCTTTTTACGTTGACACGCTGTGTTACATATTATGCGAAACAGTATTTGTCGAGTTGAGAAATTCGACGTCGAGAAAGTTATATACGTTTCGTACTGGTCGTCGCGGGATCGAGGAAACTTGTCTCTCGGAACCGCACGAGTTGCGTGAGTTTAGATCGATCTTAATTTTCACGAGAAAAAGGAATTAATGTGGAATTAACGTGTTTTCAGCTATTAGGATACTAGAAAATTTACATTTTGGGCAATTTTTATTAGATAATGACCGAGGAAGATGTTCGAACACTTGCAGACATATTTTATAAATACGTGTTATACGAAACACTGAAATTTCATTATCATTCTTACTAATAGATTCAAGTATCCTGATCATGTTAGTATCTAAAGTTTGAGACAAATCTTATCTATTTGACTAAATGTAACATTTTAAAAGAAAATTAAAGTCATGTTTTCTTCGACGAATAATTCTCATATTTCTTATTGCCGTGTTCTTTACTGTCAAATGAATTCGATGCACTGTCGTGCATGTGTGCAATTATGTCATCCGCCAACAAGGAATAACTTTATATAACTAGATCATCTTTTTCTTTGAGAATATTAATACTAATGAATATAATTTAGAAATAATGGAGTCGATCGGTTTACCTTTCAAGCAGTTCATACGATATTGAAAACGTAAAAATCTATCGCACTTGCACAATAACGTGATTTTATTTTAACGTGAAATATACAAATTTTCAAAGGAAATTATGTCGTTACAAACTTATCGTTATACAGAACAAAATTTTCCTTTCCTGAATGAAAGTGCAAAAACTATAACACCTTAGGATTCCAGTGATCGTAATGTTGCAAAGTTTGAACGGTTCAAAAGTTGTCCAACGCTTAAACACAGATATTTCATACCGTACGAAATAGCAAATATATTTTCGCTACGTTTCACACCGCAAAAGACTTATCGAAACATTACAGAGTTGATGAAACCGTATTTTACATCTCTTAGCTTTGAATCTCGAAATCATACCTTTCTATAGCACGGTGAATCTTTATTTAGCCGCTGATACTCGCTGTTAAATATACATTTTCATATCTCGCAACGTAATTGCTGACTCTTACGAACATTTTACATTCCGTTCGATTCGAAAGCGAACTAAACAAAACCGCCTGTCTAACAGTACTCGTGCGCCGAATGTAACAATGTATGTATAACGAACGTGTATGATCTTATCAGAATTCAGAGCACGATAATTACAGTTGTTGCATCGCTGTCTAATTTTGGTTTTTCTTAATCGAGCATCGCATTCCATCCGCGCCGCTTCAAAAGAAGACCAGAAAGAAAAAACCACAAATTAAATTCCTTTCGCCGCGAGAACTCGAAGAAAAGTACGTACACACTTGATGAAAAGTACGAAACTTCTCCTACAGTACGAAACTGGCCGCGATTATGAGAAAGTTCTCGAGATTTTTACTGGGAAAAATCAGAAAGAAAGAGGATAACAGAGTCGGCCACGGTTTATCGAACGATAACGTGGTTTTTCGCATCATATACAATGCTTATACATTAATACTGCCGATACTAGTTACATGTTTTATCCGTCACTTTGAAATATTCGAGAAAATTGTACTTTCGCCATTTTCTTTCTATCGTATCAGTTTTTTCTTGTCTAATTTAAAATATTTATTTGTCATCTCGTCGAGCCGGAGCTTCGTACCCTATAGGATAATTATTATACGCGTGTACACAGGCAGATAATTTAGGCACGTATTATTAACGCTGCTGGGACTTCCAAATTTTGATATTTCAATTTTGCTCACGCTTTAGCATCCAAAGGAGATTTTTAATATTCGAAGAAAATATTTAACATAAAATCGGAGCGAAAATTCATGCATATCCGTAACGATTTTCTCGTATATTACATAAACTAGAGATACTTTTTAGCGTTAGAAAGATACAATCGGTAAACGATTGAAAGAACGTTCGTGTTAACGTAACAATTAAGTAACGATTAAATATCCCAGGTATGTGTTTTAATATAGAAAACACTTGGGATTGTTTTTAATTCATAGTTTTAAATATGTAAATT